AACAGCGATAGTAAATCTGAACTACTTGCAGAATTGAGTGATGATTCGTGGGGAAATTCGTCATCAGACACTGAAAACGATTTTGCGACTTTGCTCAGTGATGTGCGAACTTGGCGCTATATTTCAAATTTCAGTGTTTTTGGTTTGATTATATTATTGAATTAAATGTATTATTATATTATTTTTTATGATTATTAAATTATAATTTAGTGTTTCAAGTTTTATCATACCCGGGATGTTTACAAGACTCTTGTTCGGACAGATTTCAGTGAGTTATTCCTAAAAATTACAGGCCTACAATAAAAAAAAATACATATTTCCATGCAAAAAATGTACAGAGCACAGAAATATGGACATAATCAGACCGCTAGGGAGGTTAATAGGAAACCATGCTGTTGTCATAGATGCAGTATGCGGTTTAGCATTGTCCTGCTGAAATATGAAAGGCAATTCCTGAAAAAAGACATCATCTGGATGGGAGCATATGCTGCTCTAAAACCTGGATATATCCTTCAGTGCTGATGGTGCCTTTCCATATGTGCAAGCTGGCCATTCCATACGCACTAATACACCCCCCATACCATCAGAGATGCAGGCTTTCGAACCAAGTGCTGCTAAGGTCCCTCTCCTCTTTAGTCCAGAGAATACAGCACCCACGTTGCCAAAAATAATGTCCAATTTCAATTTGACCACAGGTTTCCACTTTGCACAGAACATTTAAATGAGCTGTGGCCCAGAGAAGGACAGTGGTGGTTCTGGATTATGTTCAGATATGGCTCCTTCTTTGCATGACAGAGCTTTAACTTGCATTTTTGGATGGCGAACTGTGTTCACAGACAGTGATTTTTGTAAGTATTCCTGAGCCCATGCAGCTATGTCCATCACAGAATCATGCCTGTTATTAATGCAGTGCCATCTGAGGGCCCGAAGATCACAGGCATCCAATATTGCGTTTCAGCCTTGTCCCTTACCCTTGTCTGGGTTTGGTTGCCAGGAGAACAGTAATTGCCTCACTGCATTGTAGCAGGTGTAAAGTTTGGTGGAGGGGTGATTATGATGTGGGGTTGTTTTTCAGGGGTTTGGCTTGGGCCCTTAGTTCCAGTAAAGGGAACTCTTAAGGCGTTAGCATACCAAGACAGTTTGGGGATGTTCCCTTCCTGTTCCAACATGACTGCGCACCAGGCCATAAAGACATGGATGAGCGAGCTTGGGGTGGAGAAACTTGACTGGCCTGCACAAAGTCCTGACCTCAATCCGAAAGAACACCTTTGGGATGAATTAGAGCGAAGACTGCGAGGCAGGCCTTCTCTTCTGACATCAGTGCCTGACCTCACAAATGCAAATTTGTAAGAATGGACAAACGTTCCCATAGACACACTCCGAAACCTTGTGGACAGCCTTTCCAGAAAAGTTGAAGCTGTTATACCTGCAAAGGGTCGGATAACTCGATATTGAACCCAATGGATTAAGACTGGGATGCCATTAAAGTTCAGATACGTGTAAAGGCACAAATGCAGGTGTCCCAATACTTTTGGCAATATAGTGTATATTAGTGTAATGCCTATGAAATGTGCTGGCCTTGGGCCCTTGGTTTCCTCAGGGATTTTTACAGTAAAGTATCACTGCTCATATCATTCCCTAGGCTAAGGGAAACTTACAGAGTCACAAAATATAGCTAGAATTAGGAGATAAGACTTGTTTGTGCAGTTCTGTTACTTTATCAAGCCCCGGCTGGCAGGCTTATTGCCATAAGCTTTAAACATCCTAAACTTAGAGAAAACTTAGATGGCAGTATGTAGATAATAGTTTGATCATGTGTTTTATTATGCCTGCTAGATGGCATGATAGTGATAAGTGACTGGGTGTGACTCTGTTACCTTACAGAACCTTTCAGTGTTATCTGAAAGAGAGCATCTTGGAGCAGGTGAGGCGCCACCCAATCTGGGATTGTGGCCAGAAGCACTGAGTGGGGAAAGGCCTGGGGACGTTGCGATCATAAGCCATCCCACGCGTGGGCGCTCTGATGCTGGGATTTTTGCTACAGCTGCATGGACTCATCAGTCGGTCGTGCTCCAGGCTTCTCCACGATCTCCTGTGCACGATGGTTCGATGAGGTTTCTTCCTTCCCGTAGCTTTGATAATGTATTAATTCTATGCTGTGACGCTGTCAAAAGATGTGTTTATTTCATGCTGCAATGCTCACATTGCTATTGATGTGTGTTATTATGCAGATTGTGATGACCATAAGAAATATCCTCCTGTGTGTTGTGTGATAATAAATGTGGAGGTGTTGAAAGTGCAAGAATACTGCAGTTGGAGTGTTATTTCTTGGGGTGCTGAGTGAATGCTGCATGATGTGCCAGGGCAGTCTTACACTTGGTAGTGTGTCCCTTACAAGCTTAAAAACTATGGTGTGAGTGCTGGTTTTGATTGTACCTGTGAAGTGTGTGTGGTTTTTGTGTCCAGCCTTGCAATACAGTTAGTAATGCAACATCTGGAA